CTACACGGTTTCTAGGCCCAAGTGCCAAATCAATTACCCAGTAATCAACATCACAAAACATTTTAAGGCACCATACAAGACAAAGGATCCAAGGCATTTTTAGTATTTAGTTATACAGAAAAGTATACCTGATAGTCTAAAATGCTGAATCCTAAACCATTTTTGTCTTTTTCCAGTTCAATAACCTTCACATCAGGAGACCATAATGCTAATTCCCCTTCTTCCTCCTCAGGATTAATGTCTTCCTCGGGTTTCACCTGAAAAATAAAAGCTCTAGTTCAAATACCATCCTTTCGGCTCTTTACAAACACTATTCCTTCAATATTTTGATTATTAATGGCTCATATATGTCCTAAAATATGACCTTTTATGGAATTACAACTTCATTGAACATTATGTATCCAGTTTTCTCCTTCTTGCTGACTTGGATACTCTCCTGGGACTATGCCTACAAGTTTTGAGCATCAGAGCCCAACCTGGCATACAAATACCCATGTATTAGTCAAATTAGTTGTCATAATACTACTAACCTGTTACATGTTGATGAACTTCAGCTGTCCCATTAGATGCATAAAGGAAAAATAAATATCTTAGCATAAAAGTTTTCACCACAGACAGCTAATAGAAAGACCAGACGATCAGGCACATCTGATACTTGTGGCATTAAATACACAAACAAAAAATTCTTGTATTGTAACTATACTAATTTGAAAAAGCAGTTTCTTCCATAATTTTTGTGCTAAGGAATAGAAGAAAGAGGTATAGTTTACTCAGTTTCATTGGGTACGGGCAGCTTCATAAATACATCTTCCAAAAAGGCATCTTCTGTTGTCTAACTTAAAACGCGTGTTTTAACATTACTGCTATTTTATCAATACAATCTTTACAAAATATCAATGTATGATGTCCCAAGAAAAACATTAAAATCTTGTACCATGAACTTCACACTGATTTAACTTTATTTCTTTGGACAAATATGCCTATTACACAGAGCACTGCCATGAGGCAGAGGAAGAAGTATTTCTTCCACACATTCTTTCTTGATACTTTTGACAAAAGAAAGCAGATATATTGTGAGATTGCTCTAAGGAGAGGGCAACCTCTGTTCACTCAATACGGCAAAGATGTGCAACTGGCAGGATGCACACAGAAATTGTTCAGTAAAATGCAACATCAAAAAAACAGTGGAACAAGTTCTATTGCAACAGAAAGGGCCTTTCACAAAAAGACATAATACTGTACACCTTATTCTTCCAAGAAACACCCATATTTCTTGTTTAACTCTCCACCTTAGAGGAAATTAGATCAGAAAATATCAGAAAAGATGAGAAGTCAAGGTGTAAATAGTTTTTATAAATAGGAACAACCGTTACAAGCGTCAAGCTTTAGTTTGAGACTTTAAAGCTCCTGCAATGGAAAGAAACATTAAGTTTCTTTTTTTTCCAGTTCTATAAAAACCTACTCAGAACATGGAAGTAATCAGCTAATGGTGGCAAGCATGTGATTTAGTATAATTCAGGGCTCTCACCTATTAAGTGTAAGAATGATGTATGGGATGTACATAGTCAGCATGCTAGCTCAGTGATTTACCTACCTTGTATTTATAGTACAATGAAGTTTCTCATGACCAACCTGTATAAACTGTAGTAAAAGTACCAGTTGCAAACATGAACTATCTTTCACTGAAAAACCAGCTGTCCCTTACGAGCCCAAAGTGAATGGCAAAGGCAGCTTTATCAAAACTGCCTGACACAACTATGTATTTTAGGAAATGTTCTTATTTAAGACTGAAAAGTGGTTTGGATCAAACAGCAAAAGGAAAACAGAAACACCGTCTTTAGAAAGCTAAATCACTTACTCAGAAATATATGCAGTTTTGCAAAAAGTTATCATTCTACACAACTGAATGACATGAGACGTCTACCTTTTGTTCTAGAGGGGAAACTCCCACGATGGGTTCATCCACAAGAGACTCACTGCCATCATCAAAAAGTCGCCGACAGCAAACCAGTGTAAATGGGGGTGGCACTTTTTTTAGAAAAGTGATTGCCTCGCGGCGTGATTTTCCGTATAGCTGAACTCCATTTACCTACACAGAAGGGGAAACACACACCCACACGAAGATAATTAAAAGGATATCAACCAAATTCTTCTCTTTTTTTTCTGCATACATGTCTTTCCCCAGCTAAATGTAAAAGGTCTAATTTTACCTAGGGATTCTGGCAAAGCTTGCATAACTTTATTAACGCATGCTTCTAAAGTACACATACATAACTGTAAGACTTAACCTTCACCTGCAAGATCTTGTGACTACTGACTGCTACATCATGTCTCTGCTCTCTCCAGCTTCCTCTAACTTGTTTTACACTCACCACTTTTCCTAGCCTAAATCTTTCCTAGCATTGCTGTTTCATTCTCACCTGTTTCCTTGTTGGGGATTTTTGTTTTGACATTAGGCTTATGTCTTTAAATTGAAAAAGATAAACATTTAATTTTCCAAAATATTTTAAGACGACACAGATTTCGAGCTCTACGCAAAAACTTGAAGTCAGAACTAGCACAACTTTGTCAGTTGTTTAAAATGTAACAAAATGGTTGCAACTAAAATAGAACCTGCAGAAAACCTGCAGGAATGTTTATACAGTAAAAAAAAGAAACCAGTCACAGTAAGCAATTAATCAGAAAACCCTGACAAGGGTCAAAGCTTACCATCTCATAAGCTTTAGATCCTGACTGACAATGGAAGACCGTTAAGGCCATTGTTAATGGATGTTTTAAACCACAGACTTTAAAAAAAAAAAAAAAGATAATAATGCTGCTTTAAAAATGGATACTTAAGATGTACTTCTTCAGGAAAATAAAACTACAGTGATTCATCCTCTTTTATGTATTTTGTAACCTGCAATATCATGAGGGTACATCTATTTGCACCATAGTGGTACCCTTAAATATGAGGAAAGCAGAACGTCAGTAGGTGTCCTAGATGTGAACATCGTCTACGTTGACGAGCAGTGCAGCCCCAAAAGAGCAGAGTTTTAACCCGATTAGTGCTATGGACTCAATCCCGACACCTCTTGTGTTTCAGGGATTTCCTGAAGACCTCAAGTCTGCTCTCATGACCAAACATCCAAAGTCACTGGAGTGCAACCAGCTTAGGAATCTAGTACACATCATCCAAGTCCACTCCACAACATGAACCAAAGCACAGTAAGTGAGGATAATTGAAGGTTCTCTTCAATACTTCACTTCATACCCAAACTACAATGCTAATGTGAACAAACCCACATGTGATCCTAGAAAATGTATCATGTAAATATGCAACATACATGTACACACCTCTGCACAGGTGTACGTGAAGCAGAGCCTCGCCATATACTTCCCAGATCTTCTTGTTCTTTAAAGAGATTCAGTCTTGTGCAAGACTACAACGGCAATCTCACTTAAGCCACCATTTCCTCCCTGATCACCTCTATTTTTCCCCACTTTCTCCTTTGTGCTTTTTACAGTGTAAATATAGCTTACACTGCTGGGAAACACAGAGTTCCTCTCATACTATAATCCAGCCAAGGAGAAAAATTTGGAGTGGTGTAACTGGCCTCCAGCATGGTAAGATGAACTGCTATGGGTTTTTTTCTGCAAGAATTACAGCAACTGCTGAGCTATCAGGCTAATCCATTAGTTAATTATTTAAGGAGAAGTATCTACGCGTAAGGATTTTTTAATGCATTGAGACTGGCAGCGTGGTGGAAAGTTACCAGCACTTCTCAGCATACTGTGATTGATGGAGAAGAGCTACCACGCGCTCCCAAGCGGACCTGGGGACTCCCATTTCTTCTTTTGCAGCTGCCAGAAATCAGCCTCTACACACGCAAGGTGCCCTACACCCCATTCATTCACCACACCTCTCTAGTTAGTTGTGCCACTAGATAACAAAACTAGAAGGACACAAGGAAGCAATTTACTCCTAAAAAAAGAACACAATGAAATTAACTAAAATCAGAGCAGGGGGAAGAAAATACCATGCTTTCTATCATAATTCAAACACATCATTAAAAATAATCAACATTCAACCTCACTATATATTAAATAAAATTCCTTGCTGATCACATTTTAATCCCAACTGTATCAGGCCCAGGCAGAGCTGCTTGTTTGGGGAATGGGGCTGCCACTTTTTCCATTGCAAACCCCTACTTAAGGGGATTTATAACTTGGCTGCAAAAACATACTTGGGGCTAAAGCTGGCATATGTAGCTTTAGCCCCTGAGCACATTTTTATTTTGTCGGGGCTTTTTTTCCAGCTAGAGAGTAGAAAAAATTTACGCTCACTAGATCTGGACAGAACTGTGAACTTAACTGTAAGTACACAGTAATAAGTAAAACTGTTAAATATATACAATTAAAGTTTCCTAAGTTACTCTTACTCTACAGAACTGCATTATTGCTTTTTGTATACAATTTTTTGTTTAGTGGCCAAGGAATTTAAACCACACTTCCAGCATTCCATTAATCCCTTCCTTTAGCAATCAAGATTTCCTCCATTAAGCAATAACTGAAGAAAATGTTTTAGGTCTTAGTGATATTGGTATGAATTTTTGATGTTAAAGGGTGAACAACAAGTAAAAGCACGAGAGCTCTACACCTAACAAATTAATCTTTCAGAAGGCCTAATTCTGTTCCCATTGATGTCTACTAAAAGTTCTTCATATCCGCTAAAAAAAAATGTTCAAATTCAAAATATTTCACAAAGAGCAGGTATTCAATAGGAAATTAATGTCTTTTCACTTGCAGGCTGAGATACTGATAGATATACATACAAACACATCGAAAATAGGTATTACTTTAATACTATCAAATAAATATTTTTCCTAAGCAAATAGGTCTGGTCTGATTCCGATAACTTCAAAGCTGCCCCAATACCTCTTTATACATATTTAAGCAAACTGATATACTAGCTCATACACACAAATGTCTTTCAACGCTGAAGCAAGTTATAATGCGTAACAGGAACTACTATTCCTGAGACTGTTGTAAATTTTTTAGGAGTGACAAATATTAAGAAAGATTATCCACCCCAGAAGCTAATGCCAAATTGCTCAAAAGACTGAGCTAAAGGCCTACAAATACAAATACATTCAACACACATATATATCAACACAGCCCTTATAACTCTTGATACTCGTGTTAAAACATTTCAGAAAAAAAACCCATAAAGTCACTACGAGATCACAAGAATTTGACATTTTGTCCATAGAGGAGGAATGAAACAGTGAAGAAAAGGAATGTGACTTCCAAAGCACTGCTCCAACTGCTTTCACAACCAACTCTTGAATACTACTGTTGCACACACAGCAGCCAAACTAGAGTTTAAACACAAACATTTTTAAGAAGGCTAAGCAAACAAGATATATATCAGTTCTATTGTGGCGGGGGGGAGTAGTTTTGGTTTTTACCTCCAGAAGTTCATCCTCCAGCTGCAGAAGACCAAGTGTCGCAGCTGGACCATCTGAAGCAATTGATGATATATAATGATGTCCATCAAATGTGTCAAGCTCAACTCCTAATCTCAGAGCATGGATGGGTAATAGCTGTCAAAAGATAAGTATGGCTGAGAATGTATATAGCGTTATCTACCACAATACAAACACATTTAGGACTCAGTGGCTCACCATATTAAACTAAGCACACACTAAGAAGATTAAGTCTTCATACTGACATCAACTGTGTTACAGCAGAAGTGTCCATAATTTCGCTATACAAACTGTTTGCACAAATAAAAAGAACCAATCTGTTCTTTTGGGGGAGAAAGCAATGTGAACTGTATTCTTAAATAAGTTTATCATATCGTAAAAAATGCAGATCAAAGTACCACCTAAAGTCTATCCTACCCAAAATGTGAGTTTTCAACAAAACTGAAAGAAATTCCATAACCACTGTAAAAACTCAACACAAGATCAGCTGTCTTACTTCTTTAGGAGCTACACTACTTTGAGGTAGGAAACACATCCATGAAGCGTCCTCTGCAAATAACTAATAATACTGGCATCATTGTTTCTGCAAGGTGAAATCACTGATTTTGTGTTAGCCTCTTCCCCGTGGGCTTCCTTCTCTAGGAAGCCTCCAACCATTAGTGTCTTAGGTCTGCTAACATTAGGAAGACTAGCATAAAACTGATACGCTATCCAGACAAGACAGCAGAAGTCATGGCAACTTGGGGAGAACAGATGATCAGCAGTATCTGCTCCTTCAGTTTGGCCATTTTCTGGCTTTTTATTACGTAAGTTGAAACACTGACTGTCCTTCTGGTTCCCAATTAATTCTGGATATTAAAGTAAAAGGAGCAATCCATTGATACTCAACATTCCCTCAACCTATGTCTGATTATGAGTTTATGGCCTTTCTTCACTGAGACATCCCCACAAGTACATAAACGCATCACCTCCACAAACCTGCAAAAGGCACAATATTAACATACATATCTTGAAAAATCTCTCGAAAGTCTCAGAAGACTGAAATTAATTTCAGCTCTAACCATGTCAATTAAATGGACCTTCCTCTCCCTGAGCAAGCATCACTATGGCAAAGTCCTCTGCAGGACAACGATGTTGTTCAGCAGAGTTTCAACCTCTGCTCCATTCTCTTGTGGCTTTCAACAACTGAATTTCAATGCAATTAAGTTCCCCAAAATTTAAGGCTTATATGCATGGTTTGGGTTTTGTTGGGTTTTTTTTTTTTGTTTTGTTTCGTTTTGTTTGGGGATGTGTGTTAAAGGGTTCATTTGCCCATGCTACGAAAAGAAGATAAGCAGAATATCACCAAATCATAGAATCTTTGGGTTGAAAGGGACCTTTTAAGGACATCTAGTCCAACCCCCCTGCAATGAGTGGGGACATCTTCAACTAGATCAGGTTGCTCAGAGCCCTGTCCAACCTGACCTTGATCTGGAAAAGTAAGATAGAGCCACATGGCCACAAAATTTCTGAAACACGTAAATCTGGAATTGTGTCATGTCCTCCTGGGATTACTCTGCCAATGTATGCCATGAAGGAAACCATCATGCAAGTCATACCTTTGAGTACTTCTGGAGCTCTGAATCATCTGTAATGGGCATATCCACATTCACAACCTAAAAATTGTACATCATAACATTTTTCAATAGCAGGACAATAAAGACTTTACCAGAATGATAAATTCTGGCAAAAAATACGATGAGCAAAATAAACTGTACTTAAACAAAGTCACGTTGATGCAAAATAATTTTAAACAAATGTTAGAAAAATCTTTCAGACACAGAACATTTACAACTAGGAACGTGGTGATTACACATTATTAGCAGACTCCAATATTATCCTATTCCCAAAGCCCGAGTGCCAGTTTTATTCAAGCTCAGCATTCCTTTGTAAGCACAAAATGCCATTATGTTTGACACAAATACCCAAACTGACTTGCCAATTGGAGTTTGGAAAGTATCATACCTTAAGTTATTACTTCAGGCTACAGTACAGCCATCTAACATCTAGACTAAACCACCATCTTCTGCAGCATGTTTCTAACATGGTTTCTACATGAGTTTAATAACCAAATTTGAATGCAAAGTGGATTATTTAAAACAGTGACAAGAAATCTCTTCAGTATATCCTCACTTTTTTAATATTAACAAAACAACTATGGCCCTAAAACAAATAATTTAATATTAATAAAACAACTATCAAGAATCCACCAGTTTTCTTGTAATGTTCTTAAGATAATTTATTTATCTGTAACCTTAGAAGGTTAGTTACTTCAATTTTAAATGTAGTAAGATGACATCTGTGGTGATCTATGACCCAGGGTTGGAGTTTGGGAGGATTGCCACACTCGTTAGGTTTGGAAAATATATAGCCTTGCAAAAAATCAGGTAACTTCAGGCTCTTTTGGAGATTTCTACCCTCAGCCTTTTCTTTTGGTTTAATTTTAAATAGGGCTTCCAGCATCTTGTTTTCCAGTACCTAGGGTATTTTTCCTGACAGACAGAATCCATTTCATGTCCATTCAGTTGGAACTAAATGAATCTATGACTGATAACTCCTCAGCTCGACTGCTCACGCTTAGGTACCTGGCAACAAATACCAGAGCATCATACAAGCCTGTATAGACTTCCAGGGTCTCCTTCTGTTTCATGAGGATCTAAGCTCCTTCCATTGGTACCACAAAGGATCAGCAAAACAGATGCCACAAGTGACACCAAACCCTCTCTTCAAACTGCTATTTCCTCTGACGGGAAATACTCTGAGAGAATACTCAAACCTATAGGCACCTTCAGGGGGAGTTTCTGGGAGCTGAGTGTAGGAGTGAGGATAGCGTGGAACAGAGACTGCGCCATCAGGCTGAAATTGAATTAAGTGTTAGTTAGCCAAGCAAGACTAGAGGTAGGCACAGATGACAAGAACCGGAAGAACCGAAAAATTACTTTCAAAATGGGATGCCACAACATCCTTTTATTTTCCTTTTATTATTTAAAAGGACCATTCATTAACATTTTCACTCCTGACATTTTACTGGCGGCAGCTAAAGAAGAATTAGAAACGGATGGTTTCATGAACTAAGCAGGTTTTCGTCCTCTGTGGGAAGTGTGATAGTGCTAAGGGAAGTAATATCAGACTCTTGAAATGTAAGGATGGGAATACCAAGCAACTGAAGTGGGCAGCCAAACAGATTTATTGCATCATGTACATAATCTTACACGAACTTCAGTTCTTAAAGGAGTGCTAATGGAAAGGAGAGCAGTGAGTTTCGCAAGGCAATTCTTAAAGCTACTTTAAATCTTCCAGCAACTGACTGGAACGATGGCTACTCCAAGTAGTAAAAATAAGTGTCTTTAAATCAACTGGACAAGCATTGCAAAGACAAACAGGGCATATTCTTGGTGGTGGTGAGAATTTTTTAAGTCTTTGGAAAGAACACTGGCTGGAGTCTTTTATCTGTACTCACTGGCTAACACAGTACCGAAAAGCAGTAGTGAATTACAGTGTCAGTCAACTCCTTATGACAAGTCATCAAAACAATCTTTTGCTTGGCAATTATTTAATACGAAGTGAAGAAATATCTAATAGACACCGGCACCACAAAGTCACGCTACCATGAACTACCTCCTATTCTCCCAGTACGTTTGAAAAATCATTCTTGCATTCTTCTAATAAAATTAGATTTTTTTGTGAGATTCTTTGTGAAACACAGGAGCTCTATCCTGACCCTTTTTTTCCCTCAATGCACAATGAAACAAATAGATCATAAATGAAATCATAAAAATACCACATATTTTAAGTGGCTGCTTTGATGCAGATTTAAAAGGAGAGATGATTTTCTTAAATCACTGTTCCAGTCTAGTCTCTGTATAACAATAGTATCTATATAAACAAAATAAAAAAAACCACCACACAAAAAAACCCCAACAACTCATTATAACACTCCTATATTTCAGCCTTGATGTTACAGGAAACAAAATTTGATGTTAATGATCTGTTCCAAACACTAAACTGTTCTATAAACAGACTATAATGCTAAGCTCACAGATCTGTAATTTAAAGAAATAACGTACATGAATGTAGTTTATTGAAAGATAACATACCATGACTTCGTATTCAGGTCCCAGCAGGTTTTCCCACTTGGATTTCAGCTCATGTGCTGGAGGGAGTGAGACTCTTCCTAAATAGGAAAGCAAGTATTAAATTTACAAGCATATTGTACATTCAGAAGTACGTTTAATTCTAAATGCTTCAATAAAAATTCAGTGTAAATAAAAGATTAGCGGGAATAATCCCAAAAAGGAAAGTGCATTAAGCTGAGTCTATCATCAGTGCAAATCAAAAATGTCTGTCTTAGGAAAACAATGCAAAATGTCAGCTACTGCTAACATGTGATTTATTCAACTGAGAAGCAGAAGAGGTGATGTTTGCATTGATGAGATGCGAGTTCTGTACTATATAGTACTGTAAATAAATCATTCTTTCAGGCTGGCAAACAAATTTCTCACAACTTCATCATATGTTGCTATAAAAACGCTTGCCACTCCAGGGAAGCCTCATCTCGCACCAAAATGAACCCCCTTAAGAAGTAAAACACCTGACAAGATATTGCTGTTATCAAGGGGCTGCATCAGCACAATGCAGTCACAGCCTGTATTTATACATTTGGCAGGTATAAAGGCTTGTCTAGTTTAATTAGGCCAGTAAGTAACATGAGCTTTAATATAAGCTCCAGTTCTAAACCAGTCTTCCGTGGGAACTTGGCTATCTTGACATTTATATCTTTTCAGCTTTCTTACTTATGCAACCAAGGCAGTATTACATTCATGTAAGACAATTTGACAGAGCTAGACAGCATAAAATGACTGGCTGCCCTGCATTTGACCTCATCCAGAAGCTCAGTGCACATATAAAGTTCCAAGCCGAAGCAATGTTTAACTGGTAAGAATCAAGCTCTAAAGCAAATTCCATCTAGCAGCTAACAGCAGCAGCAACTGGGGTCTGAATTACTGAAAACTGCTTTTTTCCCCCCGAATGACTGTAACAGTTTGTCAGATGTCTAGACAAGGCACAGACCACTTAGTACTGCTGATGTGTCATACTGAAATTTAGAATGTAAATCACAACCTCACATTTTGCACACAAACTCGCGAGTAAAAGACCTCAAGGGGGGAGTTTCGAAGACACCAAGAGAAGCTCAGAGCCTACCTACTAGCAAAAGCCAACACAAATGGGATATCAAGCTGCCTTTGCTTTCAACACCTTTGTAGTCTGCAAAGATAAAACATGAGCTTTGCAATACAATCCTCATTACATCATTTTATAACTTCGAAGTTTTCGGCTCATTAAAAACAAAAGATTTATGTTAACTTATACAACAACATAGTCCGTCACTGTATCTCTTCCACTCACTTTCTGTCATGTCAGCTAGGTAAATTCTGTCTGATCTGCACTGAAAAACCACACTCCTCATAGCTAACAACTGAGATTTCACTTGGAAATATCCAGAGCATCTTTAACCTATAGGCTCAAGGAGATACAGATATTCAAGGATTCCAGCAATTCAGATAACTATTTTCCGTCACCAAAAGGAAATCCTACCAAGAACAAAAACGTGGGTTTGTAGATACAGCCCACAGTTCTCTCTGAAATATTATCTCCTTAAAAAAAAAAAGGAAGACAAATTCCCCCAAAATTCTCAGCTGTGAGTTAAGGGCTTTCTCCTCCATTGACATTTAATTGAAGTTTCTAAGAAGAAGTTGTCTTCATGAGCCTTGTTATCAAGCACAGGCTGATCACTATCTTTACTTCCCAACTGTAGCAAAAACAGAACACCAGTACATTTTTCTACTCCTACTATTTGCAGAAATACCTGGGGACAGAAATTCTTTAGTCCCTTTTTCTGCTATTACAAAGTTATAGTGTGAATAGAATGAATCTTAGGGCCAAGCTTAAAGTTCAGTTCAGTAAGTTGTGTTCATTTGGCTGAATACAGATTTTTTGTCACTTCCAAAACACGTTACCAAAATTTATGAGTTGTTCAGAGCAGGTGCTGATGCACGTCTCCATTTGAAGTTTTCTCCTTTCTTTCTTTCAAACACACTTTGAAGTCTTTGCTTGTAACTTCCTCAGAACTGTGGAAATGTTGGCTGGGGGGATTTGGACTAAATATATTCAATTCCGATGGTATCACCCAATTCACTTAAAATGCTCCTTTTTCCCCAAACGGCTTTTTCTACACGGCAGCTAACAGAAAGTTTCTTTCTAGTCTCTCATCCAGCTGGATTTCTCATGACCAGAGATACGTACCACATCTTCTATAATGTGCAAGGCCTCAGAAATGAAAACACATCCCAGAGACAGCTTTCATTAGCAACAACTTTCCACATATTTAGTCTGTCCTTCTGCCTGCACTTCCACACAGTTTCTCATTGCTAATTAGCCAGCATCAAGAAATCACAAGTGTATTGTAAAAATCATCTTTCCCGGTCAAAATTGTCATCTTTTCTTCTTGCAGTTTCCTCTGGTTTCACAAACTTATGATATGAGGATGTGTACTGTGCTCTAGTGCACTTCATTAATGCACTATCTTTATCTGCCCTACTGTTGGATATTTTTGCCCAGCCGTCTTTAAGTGCCTGACTAGCATCATCAGATCTTTGGGTTTTGACTACTGCTGCAAGGCAAAAGAAAGCAGTTCTGCCCAGTCTGCAGTCTTGCAGATGCAGCTGTTAAGTTAATTGCCTCTAGTCTGCTAGCAGAAAGTTCAGGCCTCATGCACATTGCATCCTAAACCATGTCGCCGCTGTAACAGAACTGCTTAAGCACGCTTTTGCCTGGACAGAATTACTATTTAATACCTCTCCAGGAAACACAATTTAATAAGAATTTCACACAAACTGGGCTTAAAGGGAAGCAATACATCTTTTATAAAACATACCTTTTACATTAAACTTCTAAAAGCATTTCCAGAGTTTAGTCAGAGCCTTAAATTAGCAGTATTTACTTTAGCACCATTATAACTAAGTGCCCATCACCATGTCCAAAATAAGCACCTATCTTTGCAATTTAAACTTGGTCATTAAATTCTATTCCAAGGTGAAATCTTATACATCGTATTTCAGTGTGAGTAAAATTCGCAACTAAGTATTTCAACTTTTTAACAGAGATACACACACATTTTATAGTTGCATAAAGCTTTTGCAGAACCTTGTAACCTAAAGTGCATTTTCACTATGAAAACCCCCAGTTTAATCAAGCAATGATACTTGCTTACAATTGCATTAAGTGCTCCTGGTTCATTACTCAAAGCCATGCCCTTGCATTATCCTGCCGGCCCAAAAAGGACCAGCACTGCTAGATGGTATCAAGGGCAGTATCCAACTGCAAACAAACAATACCTTCAATGTTTAAGTTTTGGATGCACACTGTGCATACCGACACATTATCTTGTTAAGGGGCACTTGGATACATAGGAGAATAGAAAAATCTCATTGTACACTTGCTACATCATACACTGGGGAGTGCGGATACACCACACTGCTCCTGTAAGGAATCAGCATGGGTCCAGCTGGCAGCTATGGATTCCAGGCAATGAAGTCCTTGCCAGACCCAGGTGCATCTGCACCATAATCTGTAGAGGTCCAAGGAAGGGGATTATGAGATTTGCACAATGCTAGAACTGCATGGGAGCCACTCATACACATAAAACTTGGTTATAAACTCCTTTTGAAACTAAAGGCTTTGGAGTATTTATGGAGAGGCAGTGGATCCACAACACTTTGGGTCTGCCATGAAAAGGTCTCAAAAATACAGGTTGATCAGCAGAACAGGGATCACTAGGGCATATCTAGATACACCTTGGCATATCTAGACATACCTTGAGACTAACAGAGTTTGTTAACTTCAAGGCAGGTAAAAGCAATTTTAGTTCCCAGCATAAACTGATCCTGGCATTGATATACTGTATTTGCACAGCACTAGGTATTAGGTAACAAATTCCTCAGAAAGTTCTCTTTGCATCAGGGCAGACATCTGCAGCCTGTGACACAAGATAACCCAATCACATGTAGTCAGGAACTGACTACAGAGATACTGTTTGCTTCAGTAGAAAGGGAAAATACTTTATGCAGAGAAAGGTCCACAGTAAAAAAGGGGTGGGAAAGTGACACAGCACAGCATGTGTTGCTCTTTTCTAGCCTCTGTCATAGCAAGTGTAAGTCCTTCTGGCTCTTCTGCCCCTAAATACATCCAACTGCTAAGTCCTTAAGTTATTCATCCATTGTAACTACAAATCAATATATGCTCTTCCATTCATTCAGCTAAAACAATGCTTTGATAACCTCGTATCTCAGCTACTCAACCACCTCTGGTTTGGCTTCCTATTTCTGGGAACACGCAGAAGTCACAACAAAGGATGTCTGGTTATAAGGCTTGGACAGAAAAGTAAAACAGAATGGAACACAGGAGCTGCTACATTTCTCTCGTTTCCAGGTTGTCTTTAATACTGACAGATCTTCCACAGTCAGAGCAAAATTGTTATTCATTGACAGCCATAATTTAGAAACCTCTATTACATCTACATATCTTAGAAACTGCAAGGCATAAGGATAATTTATGCTGACTTTAACACAAGCTGTAGAAATTCACCCAGAAGTTCCTGTAGAAGAGCCCAGAAATCTGCAGGGGAATTGAAGCACGCCTTCTGGAAAGGCCTCCAACCTTGATTCAGAAGTCTAAAAACCAAAGCAATCCCATGGTTTTGTGATCTGCCCCTATGTCCAATTGCCTTTGCTGTTAAAAACACATGCCTAATTTGAACTCCTGTCCAGCTTCTGAATCGAGCTATCAGGTCTTATTATGCCTTTGCCAGACCAGAGAGTCTCATCTGCCTGCATAGGTATGCAGTCAACAATTTCCAGTTCAGCTAGTAAGCTCAGGAAAAGCAAGCCAGAAATTGTCTAGAGTCCGAACTCTAGTTTCCAACAGTAGCATGGGAGGAAGCAGTATGCAGCAGTATTAGCACCACAGAGTAAATGATTTGGGTCTGGGAACGAGCAAGCAAGGTGAGGTTCATTGCTAAGTGTGGAATCTCACAGGAGGTAGACATAACTTGTGCTCTGCTTCCTACTTCTCTGGCACTCCAGGAAATACCAGTGACCAGGAGCACTATAAGGAGGACAAGCAAACAGGAGCAAGGCAGTTACATGGCAGGTGACACACAGGCGAGATAGCTGTTCATGGAAATGGCAACTCTCTCATTTGTGTGGAAAATGACCTACAAATGGAGACATGTCAAAAGACATGATCCTCTGTCCCTGCTGCTGCGGTCCTTCAGCAAGCCCTACTTGGTCAAAACTCCCAAAGGAGAATGCTGCAGCTCAGGTCACAGGCTATAGAAGGCCAAGTCAAGCAGCTCGGAAGGTGAGTTCTGATGAAGTTACTGCAGTGCCAAAAAGGAAACTGTAACAAACGGGCATCAGAGATGATGCACAGGAAACCAACAGAATATTTTGAAAAGACTCTGCAGGTGCAGGAGCCTATGACCTGTGAGGGCAAGAAGATAGATACGACTGAGGTAACATTGGATCAGGAAGTAAATGTGAACTCCCAAGAGCTCCATCTTCTGATGCTGTTCACTTAGCAGTCTGGTTCAGGGCCCTGGCGGCAGAGGAGGATGAGCAAATTTTCTCTGTCAGGAGAAGACTGCAGGTAGGGTCACCTCAGTCAGAGTAGGACCAGGGCTAGAAAGAGGAATCAGTGAGCTGGAGGCATTCAGCTCTATAGAGCTTATGAGATCGTTCCAGAGTACTGAAATGGCTGTACCTCCACAGTCTATAATCTTAACAAAAAAACCCAAAAAAAAGCACAAAAAACAACCCCACCCCATCCCACTCCCCCCCCCCAAACCATGGCAATCAAAGGGTGATCACTAATGACTGCAAAAAGGCAAACTTTATGCAAGGAGAAAGATCCAGAGAATTATAGGCCAGTCAGTCTCACCTTCAGCCCCAGAGAGATTATGAGATATTTCCTCTTAGAATCCATTTCCAAAGACATAAATGATAAGAAGGCAAATCAGGAACAGTTGATATATATTTGCCAAATAATTGACCAATCTGACTGCCAAGATAGCTATGCGGATTAAGGCTGAAATACACCTCAACTTTACTGAAGCTTTTGACACCATTTACATCAGCATTCTCATTTGGAAACTGAGAAAGCATGAGTTAATGATTGCTAAATAGGCTGAAAACTAGATGGACCATTGGGATCAGAGACAGCATTAACCAATGGCTCAACAGCCAGTTATGAGAGAAGGTCAATAGCTACAGGGGCTAGGATTATCCAGTATCTTCATCAGTGACTTCCATGATGACACTGAATGCACTCTTTGAAAACCTGTGGACAGTGCTACATTTTGGGGATAGGGTAGGGTGGAAGAGTTAAGAGATCCAACAGGTAGAGCTTTACTTCGAGGACCTGAATAAAAAGCATTACAGAGCAAAACCTAACGATGGAGTAAGCCACAATAGCCCACCAGTATTGAAAATGGATTAAAGACAATTCCAAAGACTCAGAAGAGACACTGCAAGATATCCTACCCACCTGTTTTACATAGAACCTGCTTCTTTCCATTTTGAAGATTATCCTTCTGTTCTTGGTTTTCCTCATTCTTAGTGTCCACACTAGTTTCAGTCCCTACAGCTCCAGGAGACACAAAGGTTGGAACAGTTGGCTGCACTGTGAAAATAGATCAAAAAAAAAAAAAAAAAAATCACATGCTGGAAAAATACATGAAGTAGTAACACTGCCTCACTAACAACTGTTTTTTCTCCTTTTTTTTTTTTTTTTTTCCTTTTTTGGCTACACAAGAGTTTTGCCTCACTTTTCCTGAATCCCTCATTTCTGTTTCTTTCCATTCCTCCTTAAGTATCTCATTTTCTATAGTGTGCCCTTGAAAATCTAGGATCATGTCATATCTAGTCCTAATTGTTAGGTTAGGTATCTGTAAATTGAGTGAAAAAAAAAAAATCAGTTGCTGAAAAAGGAAAGAGGGAAAAAAAAGGATTACCTCTATCTGAAGGTCCTTCTGCAGAAATAGTAGAAGGTTTCCTTCTAAGTAAGGTAAGGCGTACAGTCTGTCCTGTGTTACGCAATGCCTCTACCACTTCTTGGTTAGTATAATCCTGTATATTAACTCCATCAACCTAAAGCAAGAAAATCATATCATAATTATAGTAATCACATTACATTCTTAGGCTGTACCATACAGTGTAAGCAACATCCACATTATTTTGTGCAGAAATTATAGGGTTATTCACCCAAGACAGTACTATTTGCAAAACAATCTCATTAAATCAATTACATTTCACTAATTAGATATTTTCAAAATGCATTTTAAAAGGAAACACGGCAGTAATTTCTTCTGTCTTCACGGGGCAACCACAAAACAGAATTTACTAATCTGATATAAGTATGCACTGATTTCCCCCTACAATTTTTTTGCTTACAAAAAAAGATTGAGGTGTATTGTGGATGAAGCTTCCCAGCAAGAGCAGTTGGCCTAGAACTCTGTTCAGTTCATTATCACTGTTAGTTTTCTCATGGATTTCTAACACATCCCACACAAGCCTATACACATAACTGTTCATATAATCCACTCTGAACAGCCCAATTCTTACATTAATTCAGATGTTTTAATTTATACCCAAAATACTCTGTTCACCTCACTGCATCAACAGGGGCTACTCCTGCAAAGCTGCAGATAAAAGCACAAGGCTATATCAATTTTTGCTCTCACAAAGCAGAAGCTGACTTTGGAAGGTCTGGCATAGCACACATTTTAAAAGTAATTTAAAATCATATCTCTATAAATATTATCTCTTAAAACAAA